AAAAGTTGTATTAAACTTCGCTTTCATTTCAGATAAAATTTTGACCTTTAATTAGTATTAATATCATGTCAATATCGAAATTTTATGAAGGGGGTATGATAACAGGCTGGATCTGCCACTGTCATATGTTTCATTGCTTGAAATGTTTGCTGGCTGAAGATCCATCAACTAAGACTGCAAATGAAAGTAGAAAATTTCCAGCTGCAATCTTAGTACCAGGCATCAATGGCTGACTTTTCCAAACAAATTCTTTACAACAATCAACATTTTTGCACATGGTTTTTATTGTCAGCATTGTTCCAACTTGACAAACATGAAACCACTGGATTTTTTCCATGACAAAACATGCATGTTTTAAACAACGGAAGTTGTGTCAAGAAGACAATGTATTTCTGTTGCTTTTGCACATTGTCAGAAGTGTTGATTCTAAAGAACAAAGAAGTAACACCAAATACTAATTAGCATGAAGCCCGAACATCGTTTCTATTTAATATATATCTTATGTTGGTTCTGAGTATTCATCATCATCATGAACACTCTCACTATTATCAAGAAGATTTTCATCATCTTTGTGTCATCAGTGCTTGTTTCCATTTCACCATCAGAATCATCATCATCCACACAGTCTGCATCTTCCAGGTTTGAGCTAGGATCAAAGTCTTTGCATGTTGATGAAGTATTTGCAGTGTCAATGCTGAAGTCCCTCTCAACTGCATGTATGAGAAAAAATCAGAGCAATGACAAACATGATACATTCTTAATATTTTGAATTTGGCAATGAAAGCACACCTTCTTTTCAAAGTTTTTTTAACTTGTGTTTGGCTGACAGCCATTGCCCAGATAATCGTTTGTTCTGCTTTCACAGATTGTAACAACCAGCACAATCTGCAGGCAATGTTTGGGTGCCAACCGTTTGATTTGCCTGCAAAGGCATACATGTACTTTCATGGCCTACTCAAATTTACACGGACTGATATCTTGCCATAGCAAGGCCAAAAATGCAAGGCCATTAAGGCATTCACAATTTCTAAATGATTTCGACTTCTACCACTTATATGCGAAATCGGATTGGAGTATATACTAGAGATCAAGTGTCTCAGAGACAAAGAAGACATTTGCATGCTGAAATTGAAACAAAAACTCGAGTTGAAAGTAGATTCCTTTTAAAAAATGCAGTCTGGGTTAATATAAATAAAATTACATCAATTGCCTTTGGAACGCTTGCTTTGCTTTAGTGCAACAACTCGGTCTTTGACAACTCTCTATGTTCGCCTTTTTCTCTGATTGTTAAGGAAGACGTTACAAATAATTCTTATTGCCCGGTTATTGGCGATATCTTCGTGCTGTTCGCAGACGAACCCTTCGTTACACAAAACGGTTTTCAAAAGATCCTCCGCAACAAATCGCGATGGCAAGAGAGCCTTGAATAATATTTGCTGCTGCATTCAGTACAACAAATATATGAGCAACAAAATTACCCAACCCAGCAGATGGTTCCTTCAATCCGCCACGAGAAAGTAACTGCACATATGGCGAAACACCATTATTGGTTAGTAGTTGCTCAAAGCAACTATTGCAAAGCTTAATCAGCTTTTTTGCAATGTACCCAGCAACGTTATCCGAAATTTCCTTAGAAGCATCTGTCAAACATATCCTATTAGACTCACAATAATTAGCTGCACGGAGTCTCTAAATTCTGCTACTTTTTCCGGTGATTTTTCATCGGTGACTTTGACTCGATCATCAATGTCCAGTCCTTCCTTCACAAGGCTTTTTAATTTTAGAATCTTTTCTGAGAATACCACATCTTTTAAGCCGACCAAAAAACGACCACCACTCCTTTGGCGGTGCTGACCATACCGTTTTTCCAAAGGAATCACTCTGGAAGCGCGAAGTCAGCACATATGAATAACCCTCACTTAAAAGTTCTTCAATTAAAGCAGTATGGCAGCGTAAGGTCCATCGAAGCGCATGACTAGTTTGAGCAGTAAGATTGAATTTGTCTCAATTTGGCAATTTAAGGTTATCCCACTCGTCAATCCAATCTGCAAAGACTCTCAAGAATTCGGGTTTTTTGTCATTGAGAACTGCAGCATTCCCAAGGCGATTAGAGGTGTTAAATCGGGATTTTGGATTTGAAATTGTCCTTCAAACATCAACAAGGTGCAGGAAACTTGCAGCGTCGTCGGCTTTGTCAGGAAAATAATGTCTTATGCCGGTAGCAGTTGAACGAGAAAAAATGGCTAAAGCTACGGGTACATTCTGTTTAGAATTTCCCGGGTGTAAAACCTTCACACTAAGTTCAGGCGCTGCCCTTAAATTTGCCTCAAGTTTCTGATTTTTCTCGTACACCTCATGAAGTAACCGCCACGAAATCTCTCCTCCGCTTACTGAAATAGGGTCATAAAACCCAGTAAAATTGAAAGTAGGAAAGACGAACGTTTTGCAATTTAGCAAATTATTTCTGATGTTCTTCACCAGGTCAACACCGGCGCCACACGCAGAGCGCAATTCCTTGTATGAATTGACGATCAAAGAATGATCATCCGATACAATTCCTCTTACACGGAATCCGTTTTCTTGAAGTAGTTTCAAACAGGCTAAAAGCTCGTCTTTTAACCATTTCCCAGTTATTTGTTTCTCGGGTAGGGCTTTCACAACATATGGAATGTTACTATTTAACCCAACGATCATGAAACATACCACACCTTTATACAGCTCACCTTGTTCATCTGTGCCATATGATTCACCAGTAATGTACTTCTAGCACTTCTGAAGAAACATTTCATCCACGATCAGAATCACATCATCAGAAACACTGCCATTGTCTTTAAGAAGGTTCGCAGCTTTCAATGCATCGATCTTCCCAGCTGTTATTCGCAGGAGGGAAACAGATGGCAATTTAAACTCTTCTTGCAGCAGTTTGTAAGTCTGTAGAGATGTATAACGTAACAAGAGGGCATACTGAATCATATTTGCTGAATACACAGGGCTCTTCTGATATTTCAACTTCCTTAACCCTTCCAAAACACCGCTACAGGATAAGCTCTTTTGTTCAACATAGGCAGGGAAATTGTGGAGCATACTTTTACTCGTCAATTTACACTGACCTCTACGAAACCACTCGGGTAAAGGAAGCGGGGTACCTCGGTGGTAAAGGCATACGCGCAGATTAACATCCACTCAGATGCAAACTGTAACTTCAGGCACAGATTGTTCATTCTTTTCCATTCTTTTCCTCGAAGTGATGTTCGCATATAAACACGGATTTCAGTTCAGCGGTGTAATAAGCTACTCTGTTCAAGAACAAGCGCCATATTGGTTGCAGCTCCTTGTCTTTTGTAAACTCGAATACAGTCCCACTAGCGTGTCCTTTGTAGTTGGTGTAACACCCAGCAACGCTACATTTGTTTGGCATTCTGCACTGCAACTGACGAACAACTCAATCAAGATCTTATCACAAACACTCAACTAACCAAGAGAAATTTACTTTTTCAAATGAACAACTTCCTCAATAACAATCATTGCAGAAGAAAACAGGAAACGATTCATGAAAAACTTCCTGCCTGTCATGTTCTATTGTTAGATTTGAGAAGAAAACTTTCTTACTCATTGAAAACTCAATGGCCTTGCATTTGTGATCTTGCTATGGCAAGATATCAGGCCGTGTAAACTTGAGTAGGCCATGGTACTTCAAAATATATTATCACTTCACGACACTGAACTGAATTTAAATACCTGTTCTATTTTATCGATTTCAGCCAATTTAGACACTGTGGAGAAAGTGTTTTGAATTGGGAGTTCTTCTGCAATCATTTCAGCGATGATTTCTTTCATGAATTTATTAGTTGAAGTAGAGCATGATTCTATTAAAAAATCTTTTACCATCTTTTTAACCTATATACAGAATGAAACATTAAAGAAGCAACAAATAGTTGCAACATGCATATCATTCACAACTAGCTTTTCGCTTGCAGATGGTAGCATTTCATTTGCAGATGGTAGCATTTCATTTGCAGATGGTAGCATTTCATTTGCAGATGGTAGCATTTCATTTGCAGATGGTATCTTTTTACATACCCATCGTTTCTCTCTAGGTGTTGGATTTTTTGGTTCATTATCTTGTAGAAATATTGTTGGATAAGTGGTGATTCCAAAATCATCTCTTTTGAGCCTTGGTGTATAATTCTTCATCCCTGGGATTTCTACCATGTATTTTTCATAATCCGCATCAGTAAAATGAATGGAACAAACAGTTGAATACTTAGTCGGTGTCCATTGACCACGTTTCCTCGCAACAAAATTCACAGTGATTTTACGTCTTGGCTTCGCTTCAAGACGCTCATTGCTGTAAAATGGTATACAGTGAAGAGAAATTCCTTCCGCAGAATTTCCTCGGTTTGAACAACCGAAAAATGCACATCTATCAGGCATTTTTATGCAGAGCCGTAGTAGATATAGTAAAATTATAGCAAAAATCACCCTTCATAAAACTTCCTTCCTTATGTTACATCACATACTTCTCGACTCAGGCACTCATCAAACAAATTGAACGCACAGCAATTTTTCTCCATTGCCCATTTTCGGAAAAGAAATGCCTTTATCTCATAAACAAAGCCATCAATCAGAAAATTGTAAAACCACTTTTACAATGATTTTTTACCTGCATCAGAAAATTCCAAAAAAAATTTGTAAAACAAACACTTTAAGTCAAAATATACTTGAGTTCATTGTTAAAGTGCTACTGAAGTGAAACTTTTGGTATCGATTTTTTCCTATAATCAAATAGTTCTATCTTTCCTGATCACTTTGGTATAATTTTTATGCATATTGAAGCACGGGATCATCAATAAATTTTTGCTCAAAGTTGGGTTACGCGTGCGAATTTTTACTACTGAAATATTATACGGATGTGACGTAATTAAAAGGACGGAAGTCGAAGTATGAGCATTGATTTACTAGTATTTTGTTAGATTTTTAACACATATACACAATAAAATATGAGTTCTTCAAGCCGTGAAAGCGAACGCAGTTCGGTTACTGAAAACTCAGATATGGCAAATAAAAATTTACTTTCGAATTCCGGCGATGAGGATACAATTGTGGCTAATTCAGTTGTAAATCCTTACAAAAATGAACCTCTTGCGAACGCAGTCGGAGAGAATTTTGTGTCGGTCGAAGAAGACGCAGATGGCTTAGAACCTCGAACATTGGAAGCGAGGTTCGAAGGAACCGTTCAGTTAGATAAGTGGTAAGTTGATAAATGTTATTAGAACTCTAGAAGAAATTAAACCATGAATTAAACATGTTATTTTGTCCTTATGTCGTGGTGCATAAATATGATAACAAACCACTTTTTTATAGGAGTGCATGTAGCTTTTGTCGTACTCAACTGCTGCAGATGCCATTGAATACCGTTGTTGTCAAGAGGTTGGGCCTACTTTACATAAACTGGTATTCGATGGTAGCATTGAAAAAATTAGCTGTGTTTCTCTTCACGAAGAGTACACGATTATGACACATGCTACAGTCTTGAAGAATGTTGGCTCACTTCTGAGAGACCAAGATGGAAGGTCATACAAGCGTCGTAGAATACATGAAAATGAGTTAGTACATTTTTGATTTCTAATTTTGTTTTGTAACGAATGATTAATATCTTACCATGTATCTCTACTTTTTACCTTTATGTGGTTCATTATTGTGCTGTGATGCTTCACAATTTTGTTGTGTGAAGTCAAAGTAAATAATCAAATAGAAATTACTATTTTGAATTTCTCGTAGATACTTGAGAGCAGTTGCATACCGTTGGGTCATTCGATGGCTGTGTGGATGCCTTGGTTGGGAAAATTCTAGACCATTACCTGCATGTATCTACACAGACATCCGAAAACGATTTCCATTACGAAATCCCCTAGGCCAAGAACATGCTGGCTACAAGTCAGCACAGGAAAGAAACTGATAGAAGTAGGAAACATTTTTTGAAGCATAGTATATTATTTTATAACTAACTTTAAAGTTGGCCTGCTAAGAATATTTGTCAAGTAATTCTTGTGGACAATGACTTTTTGGATGTCCTTTCATTGGCTGTCCACAATTTTTGCATAAGCGCGTTTTTTTGGATCTGAAGAACCTGTTGAAGCAGCTTGTTTTTCTTTGTCTAAACCTTTTTTTTGCAGTACATCTTGCTGTTGATCTATAAATAACAATTTAATGTGTTTACTTTTAGAATGCACTGGCCATACCTATTATACATGGTAGCATGAACAACTTACATGTGGGAAACAATGGTGTTGAAGAAAGTTGTTTCCTATCCAAATGCTGTTGGATTGCCTCAGTTTTGGAAATTCGATCCGAGAACGTTTTGTTTAAGGCTTCTGGGACTTTTTCCTTATACTTCTTAAATATCAAAAAACACTTGAGAAAAACGAAGATTTTTTTGAGAGCAAACGTGTTTCGACATTATCAGAATGCCATCTTCAGTGCAGAATGGTTAGTAAAAATTTTTTGTTATAAGTTCTTAATACTTATTTTTCTTTTCCTTTTTTGTAAATATTTTATATTTAGTAACTGAATCATAATCCTATTCATTGTAATTAATTTATTCATATCATATTACGTATCATATTACTTAACACTAACCATTCTGCACTGAAGATGGCATTCTGATAATGTCGAAACATGTTTGCTCTCAAAAAAATCGTCGTTTTTCTCAAGTGTTTTTTAAAATTGCTGCTAATTAGAAATTATACTTCTTAAATATGTTGTCCATGGATTCCTCACAACTAAGAACCATGACATTTTTGATTTCATTAACATAGTCTGGAAAAATGACAAGTGGTTAGATGTGTAAGTCAAGAGTACCAATGCATACATGCTAAACTTACAATATGATGGTGCTGAAGAAACAGTTCTTACTACTTCATCCCCTGATTTAAATTTTGGGTATGTCACAGAATAATATGGTGTTCCATTTTTTGTTTTTTTTGGCTGTCTATGAAGGTTTTCATTGAAATGAAGTACTGCCAGTACGTGCCTAAACAGAACAAACCATTTACTATGTAATTTTTTTTCTTGACTAGGAACAAGTAAAAAAGCCTTGGCAGATAGAGAACAGTGATTACAAGTTACCTGCAATATGTACCACGCCAAGAAAAGTGGGTCATCTTTGGATGCCAACCGTTTAACGTTGAATGAAAACCTTCGAGACAACTAGTTTGTGCTTCTGAAGATAGTTTTTTAACATCTTTGAGAACAGATTTTTTCAACAGAATGGAGGAAAGTTGCTGATATGATTTAGTTCCTTAAAAAGAATACAATCCCATCTTAAAAGTGGTAAATAACATTTTAGACATTTTAACAATCTCAATTCTGTCTTGCTGCCTAAATGTGTGCATGCTCATACCAACTTGAAGCCATAGACGTTCATCTAGCTCTCCATGAGCACATTTAGGAAACAACTCATCTGGATGGTTTTCATGCTTGTTTGTAATGTGCCTAGCAATGGATTTCCATTTTGACACAATCATATCTCCATATCCCATCTTAGTAGACATAGCCGACCAATATAAGTGGTTGCGGATACCTTTAATCCAAAACACCAGCAACTCACAGCCTTTTTCTTTACTAGCCTTTAATATTGTTTTGGAAAGTCCTTTGCAAACATGCCACAAATCGTTGAAGTGCTGGGTTTCCTTCTCAGATGTTCGAATCCACTTAGCAATCTCTTTGTGACGATCGCTAATAAATACTGGAATTTGTAGTCCACTATCTTGAAGAAACTTGAAGCATCTTTGAGCTCCATCCAACTCCATGGCATTGCTACTACCAGACTGATTTGACTATACGAAAGGTAATGAAGTTTATGTAAAAACTATAATATTATTTTTGAGGTCTTGTTCAAGTAAAATGAACTGATTATCTTAAATGTACATGAAAATATTTGTTTATTAGTTGAAAAAAATATTATGACTACCTGTCTGATGTCAAAATAAACTATTTTGGAAATACTGTTACAAAACATGGAGTAAGAACAGTACTTAGCACTGTGGCCCATCGAATCAAATCTGCCATCACCAGACCAAGTAGCATTTTCTATATTTTTCACATTTTCAATCAGGGCTTTTTGATACTTCTCCCAGTGCAATAACACTGAGGGGGCCAGGAACTTGTTTTGATGTAAATAATATGCTCTGCTGGTGATTGAACAAAGGCCCAAATGCTTGAATAGTAAAAACACTTTACTTATGCTGACACCTGACATCAGAATGGCAAAACTTGTCATGAGATTTCCAGCTGCGTGCCTTCCCAATACATATGGCTGACTGTTCCATTGAAAATTTCTAGTTGGTCCACAAATAGAACAACATTGAGTTACAACAGCCATTGAACCTTTCTTTTTGATTTCCACCTGAGGATTTGGACTTTTGCAATTGAAGCAAAACATGCTGAACAGTGATATGAGCATGCCATAAAAGACAATGAATTTGGGTTCGTCACATGGCAGGGTACCAGGTTCCATGCTAAACAGAATTAAGCACATATTCATACAAGTTGAACTTCGTTTTCTACGACATTTATGCTGTAACTCACCTAACAGTGTTTTTCGACTGGGAATCTTCAGCTTCATCTTGTGATGAAAACGGTTCGTCTTCATTTTGCCAATCCATATCTGTAATGTCAGGATCACCAATAATATCCTGGACATCGCCGATATTAAAAAATTCATTTGGCTCATTACTGGATTGAGAACCGTCACTTTCAGTATCAGAATCATCACTTTCCTAAAACGTAGAATAGGTAACATTGCGTAAATTTCCAATGGTCGATGACAAACGTTGTATAAAATGTATTTACACCAACGGGTCAAGTTCTGACTATTTCGTAAAGAACCTGTTATTTCAAAAAAACACACATAAATTTTATACAAACCACCTTATTCTCAATACATTTATTTACCACCTATTTCAAGAAGTAAATACGTACCATGATTAAACTGTCGCTTAGCCTTTTTTTTGATTTTTTTAACCAAGTTTCTTTCGTAGTTTTGTAACTTTTTTGGCAAGTATGTCGCATCTACTGCACATTTCAACTTGCTCTTGTTTTGGCAGCGGTTCTGGTGAATCCTCTCTAACTGGTTCACTATCAACGCTTTCTGTTGTGTTACACTCGTCAGAATGCCCTTCATCATCAGTATGTTTAACAGCGGGTTCAACATCTTTTACACTTCGTGTTACTTCACGCAACACCTGTTGAAGATAATAAGACATATTTACATGCATTTCCAGGTTGTGCATACAAACTTGTGTAATTTAACTTGTATAATTTTGTACTTACAACTCTGCGGTCGCGATTGCTCTTATCACCTTGGATTGAAATGCCTTTTACAGAGTCTATGGTTGGAACAGCATCAGAGCGCAATTGTCGTCTCATGTTTAGCGATTTTGCAACTGTTGCGTTCTCGGTGAATGCAGAATCTGCGAAATGCATTGAACATAGCACAGAGTACTGCTGAGGAACGAATTTTGGCCTATGTGTCCTAACAAATTTTGTCCATTTACTCAGCCTCTCCTTGTCATTCATGGGGAAACCATGTACTGAGACACCCTCTGTGTGTTGACTGTTTGTACAACTTTTTCCGTTGGGCCAACCAGCAACAGAATATTGTCCTCCTCGACGGTTTTTTGCAGAATTTTGCCTACTCGCCATATTTTAACTTGCGGTGTATCGTTACGTTTGACTAACTTAATAAAAAATTATTCTCCTTATATTATGTGCGTTGTGATAATATTGCATGGGTTTTAAAACCACAGACTACGTCAAGGATGCGACACCCATAAGATACGAATGATAAGTCTAATCCAGAAGTTTATAAAAGTAGTATACATTGGATGATTGGAAATAAGCGCGTTACAGTTAGTTTCTGATAACATTGCGTGTGTGTTAAAACCGCAGACTTCGTCAAGGATGCGGCACCCAGTTTATTGAGAAATATAAGTTAATTCAAGAAGTTTATAAAACTCTAATCGATTGTAAATGTTGCTTACCTATGCATGTTGCTCATTTGTCACTAAATATATGCAATTTTTGCGAAGAGAAGTTATAAAATATGTAAAATTCCAGTTGGAAATATCCTTGTTTGTATATAATTTTTATATACTAAGAGCTTTAAAATTGAACTTCCGTCCTTTAAATGACGTCACGCACTCAAAGTCAAATTCGCATCAAAACAAGCAAATATGCCATGTTTGAACGCAAAGTTCGATGCGTTCCCATCGACTAAATTCAGTGGGCGATAGCTCAAAATGATCAGTAAAATACAGAGAAAACGTTTGTATCGAAAAACGAAATATGAAAATTTCACTTCAGTAGCACTTTAAGTATTGACTTCATGTAATTTTAATGGTTGGAAACAATTGAGAAATCCTAATCATCTGGCTGGAATAATGGCCGACATGAGGACATGTTGTACACATGAGTGACCCTTCTGTATAATCATTATTCTGTGCTAAGGAACAGAAGCAACTTTACTAATTTATTCACATAAACCTCAGATGATGAGACAAAAATTGAAAAATATCAAATCAGCAGACACTTTGAAAGCTTCCATTTGTGAATTTATTTTTCATACTTTCTTTCGATCGTTACCGAGTCAGCGAGGTGTATTTTTGAAGATTAAATTGAATGAATTTTTTAAGACTAAATTGAATGAATTTTCTAAGACTAAATTGAATAAATATTTGAAGAATAAATTGAATAAATATTTGAAGATTAAATTGAATGAATTTTTAAAGATTAAATTGAATATTTTAAGATTAAATTAATGGAATATATCAAGATTAAATTGAATGAAAATGCATTGCTATATTAAATTGAATATAAATATCACAATAAATTGAATGATATGAGTAGGATAGAATATTGCTACAAAACGGCTGGCATATTATTCATTGATGTCAAACATATAATGCAAATATGAAACGTTCAAGGTTATCGTGTTAATAGTACCCATATATGGTAATGAAGACATGAAGTAGTTCTTCATTGACGTCAAAAAATGCAAAACATCCAATTATTAACTTCTAGACAGTCACTAATGTCAAACAAATTGAAAAGTCTAGGTTATGTTCTAAATTTAACCAAAAAATAGTAACAGCTTGTAAAAAGTACTGCCAAGGGTAATCATGCCATAAATGGGAAAAAAATGAAAGAAAATGCAGTTTTTACATTAAGTTTGAGTAGTATATAAGAGCATATTTGTTAAAAATTTCTTAATTATCAAAAAAATGGAATCAGATGAAGGATGCAAAAATTTATTCTTTTTGAAAGATGTAAGAAACAACAAACGTTTTGATACATTTATAGAGAAAAATAAAAAAAAAATTGAAAATGAAAGGAAAAAAAATTCACGAATATCTCTACAAATTGAGTTATCAAATTGGGAAGAAAATCAAATTCAAGAAGAAAAAAGAGAAAATGAACAAGTATAGAAATAATACTGAGAAAAGCTACTATGAAAATCAAGTTCGTACATCAGTCACTAGCGTCTCCACAACCCATGGTTGAAGATTTTACAGATGAAAGCGATGGTGAAATAAATTCTGAACAATCGCAAATTACTAAAGTTTTTCCTCAAAAAAATTCTCTTTGAATACTTATAATATACAAAAATCATCCCTTGTAAGCATTATTCAGAATGTACATCAACATTTTTCAATAATCTTGGTATAAACAAAAAAGATTTAAAAATAAATGGGAAGAAATTTAATTTTACCTACTTTGATTTAGTAAATGATTTAATATCTAATAGAAAAACATTAAATCTCAAAGAACATGAATTAAGATCTATTTTACCTGAGTTGAAAAGAAAAGGAATGCCAATTTCATATATTAAAAATAATAAAATCAAGGAGATGTATATAAATTCTAATGCAAGCAATACAACTGGTAGAAGACGAAGTTCACAAATACCTATTATATCTACTCCTTCGTCACTACTATCTCCTGCTTCAACATCGTCATCTACCTGTATGCCACCATTATTAACTCCTGAACCGTCTTTACATTTAGGCAGTTCTACACCCCATCGTTTTTCTAGTCTTTCTCGACAAAAAACATTGAGACAAAATAAAACATATGATATATAAAAAAGAGGATATAAAATGTAAGTTGGAAAAGTTTTTAACAACTGATAATTTAATTTATTTGGGGAATAATAATAAAATTATAAAAAAAAATTCAAAGGCGTTTTTCCAGCTGATTATTACCCAAAAATAAATTTTAAAGAAGGTGGATGGATATGGAATACAGATACTAGTGATAAACCAGGTCAACATTGGGTAGCATTGTGGAAAAATGGGAAAAATTTATATTTTTTTGATAGTTTTGGTTTAACTCCAGAACATTATAAAAATAAAAGATGGAAATAATTTGCATCTGATAAAAAATTAAATTTTGAATTATTTTCTTATGAAAGACGTCAAAATATTAATACAACTACTTGTGGGGTTTGGTGTTTGTTTTTGTTACAAAATGTTTAAAATGAACATTTTAAATGTAATTAATCATAATTCAACTTTACAAAATGATGAAAAATTGTTAAGTTTATCTAAAATGTTTTTTCCAAGAATTAAAAAAGTGTATGCACGAAAATGCAAAAATGAGAAGAAAAATACTCAAATATGTTGTAGTTATAAAAATATGTTTAAAGTGCTTATATTACGAATTTTAGCCCCCCTTTTTTATGAGCTTAATTGAAAATTTGGATTATTTGAAGAACTATCACATGTCGCTGGACTTAAACAGATAAATATAAGTTCCTTAATTTTGCCTCCAAATTCGGGTACTATTTGCGAATTTTTTACGACGCCATATTGATACTTGTGACATAGATAGTTGAACACGTCTGTTTCCGTCAATATAATATTATATTATAGCAGGTGATTTTATTGTCGTTTTTCTTGTCTTAAAAACAAGTAATGACAGTATTTTCAATAAAATATTAAAAAACAAGTTGTCCGGAAAGTATGGCCTCAAATCAGTGCTCAGACAATTCGAATTCGATGTCTGAATGCGTATCCGATTCGAGCTCGGAATCCGTGGGTTATGTCGAGCATTTAAACGACTTCGCATATGACGATGAACCGCTCGCAGGAGATGGTGATGAAGTGCATACTCCAGATGATCCCGATGGAATTCTCCCTGCGACCTTAGAACAATGAAGTGATGGCTGTTGTTTTCTCCTGTTTGTAATATACATAAGGTCACTTTATAAACCACAATGCTCCCACGTTTCAGGTGTAATTGTCAATGCTGTCATACCGATTTGTTAGAAGGCACATTAGAGTATAGATGCTGTAAGGAAATAGGACCAGCTTTGCAGAAAATGACATTTGATGGCAGCATTGAGAAAATATCATGCATAACACAGCATGCCAAATTTGGGCCTTTAGTTCATGAGGCTGTCCTTGAAAACGTCGGGCCACTATTGAGAGATAGGAATGGACATGCTTATCGCCGCCAAACATCACACTTGAGTGCACTGCATCTGCAAAAGGCATGTTGAGCATTAAACTACAATAAAAAAAATTATTCATGAAAATTAACCCTATGTTGCATGAATTATTCCACAATTGAGTTTTAAAATATTTTTTTCATGAAAGAGCATAATTACCCACCTAAATTCAAGGCAGCCAGAAAAAAATAATTTTCGTGGTCGCATAGTGTTTTTTTCTGTATGTTGCTTTGAGGCAACATTATGCAATAGCCTTATATAAGCTTGTCAAGTTTTTGTTCCAACATAGACATTTTGTTCCAACATAGACATAGAATCACACAGTATTTATATAAAAAAGGGACACAAACAAGATAGAATGAAAATTCATATATTTAGAAAGCATGCAAACAGTTTTTAAAAAGTTTTGTCATTTTTGTGTAAAATCTGTAAAAGTATTGAGTAAAATAACTGAGTGATCTATCAAATGCATAAAACTAAATAACAATAGGAAAGAAAAGATACAAAAATAACAATTTTACAAATGAAATTTTTTAAAACAGTTTGACTTTGGAGTAAAACATAAATGTACTTTGCACTTTTCGCACAAAACCTTTGGTATTCCACCACACCCAGGGTATTTACAATGCCCTTTCTGTTCCACAAAAGTAGGAAAATGTCCAGTATTGTCCGTTCTTGTTGATTTTTCTGGAATTGGTGCAGTGGGGCCTCTTTTCTTTTTGGCATTGTAAAGACTGTCAAATGAGGTTGATGGACGTCCTCGTTTACTTCTAATCATTTTGCCACATTTTGTCAGGTCGCTTGCTGCTTTCATCTTGAAGACTCTTAGCTGAAGTACTTCCTTTTTTGGTGCATTTATTCTTTTCATTTCTTGACAGTAAATGAGCCAGGCTTGGACCATAATCATATCGAAAAAATGCCAAAGGAGTCTGTGATACCACTTCTTTGACCGGATGTGAATCCTATACAGACTCAACATGCTATCAAGGAGGTACACTCCCCCCATAAACTTGTTGTAGGTTGAAACAATTGCAGGACGAGACACTTGAACCTTTGTTTTTGTTTTTCTGTCCCATCGTTCCACTGTGGATACAGGATTGATAGCTTCGTAAGTTGAAAGTAATGTTACTCCTCTGTTGGCAAACCACTTCACTGCTCGCAGGTCAATGTTGTCTACTTTGGTGACATACAAAGCAGCTGCTCCCCGGCCTTGTGCTTTCATTGCGCTATCTGTAGGTAGCTTTATATTTGGTAGTCGGTTTGCCCGTACTGTTCCAACACAAGCAATGCCTTGAGTGTACAGTACTTTTACAAGCTCT